GTGAGGGCGGGGGCTCAGGCTCCCAGGGCCCCTCACAAAGCTTCTCTTGGATAGGGCCGCAAGCGCGCATCCTTCAGAGACGACAGACCCAGCCATTCCCTGTCTTGTCCCCACCGGGGGTTTCAGCATAGCCCCGCCCCATGCCAACGTGGACTCCAAATCTCATACTCCGCCCTGCCCCCCAAAAGTCCACATCTTCACCTCACCCTCTGAGCCAGGTCTCCCTATAACAGGTTCAGTCACCTCCCTCAATCCCAACCCCAGGTAACACCTGCAGCCACCTGGCCCCCTCCCTTACCTGGCCCCCATTCTCAGTTCGGAAGACGTACTTGACGTTGGGGTCAGGGAAGGTGGCGGCTGACTGGATGCTGGCGATAGCCACACTGGTTGGGTCCTCCCCCGTTGCCACTGCCCCTGAATCGAAAGGGCAAAGGAAGAGTCTGCATTAACGCCTTCTCTGTCCCACCTGCATGTCATTCTCAAGGAGAAGCGCACAGGGGATGGCCCGTGGGGCAGGGAGGAGCTGTGCTGGGCTCTCGGTTCTAGCTCACTTGTGTTTCTACCACTCACCTTCCTGGATCTGCACTGTCCCCTCTTCCGTTTCAGCTGTTTTCTGCTGCCTGTTTGTGAAGGGACACAAGGGAGACTAAGGGAAGAAGTGAATGGGAAGCTCGCTGGCCCCACAGCACATGGCTCCCCAACTCCTTGCAACCCCAGCAGATGCGAGGTGAGGAGAGATTAACTGTTTCCTACGAACACAGGTGCCGAGCTCAGCACGGAATGGGCACGACCCTGTTTCATACCAGGAACAGCGCTGTGCGGCATGCGACACGACTTGCATTTTATAGGTAAGAAACCAAGTCACAGAGCAAGCAGGTGAGGGAGCTGAGACCTGAGTCTAAGTCCACCTGACTACAGAGCCGGGGCTCCCAGCCATTCTGCATTCTCCCAGGCCTCCCATCCTCCAGCCCGGCCCGGCCCTACCTCTGCTTCACTCACCCCTTCATCTCTCTGTGATGGGGCACATCCGAGGAACTGGTCCTTCTTTGGAAGTCTTCGTATTTCCTCACTCACAGCTTGAGGGCTAAGTCCTGGTAGAAATCGGGGAGTTTGCAGTGACTAGGAAACTGAACAGCTCTCTATATCTAGACCTTAGGCTCCTTGAAAACACAGGAAGGAACACAACCCAATCATCTGCAGGCGACAGTCGGCCTCCTCCATTCTGATGCTAAGGACTGGGCTACCGAGATGGAAATGCCACTCCACAGATAGTGTTCTTGCCCTGCGTTCTCGCCTCACTCCTGGTGGACGGGGGACAGTTATACTGGAAGACTGAGAAGCAGTATATTTCCGGGCGGATTATTAGTAAAGCCATCATGGCCTGCCATGACATGGGGTTTAGGGAGGGCCACGTTCAGAACACCACTATCAAAAACACTGGGAGTGTTTTTGACGGCAGCTGATGCTTCTTCCGGCTTCTTGGCCACAAACTGTGACCCAAACGATTTATGTTCTCAAATCCAGGAAAAGAAGACCTGGAGCCCACCACAACTGGAAAGCCCTCCCGAACCACAAATACCAGGCTTGGCCCTTGGGCCCCATTACAGTGACAGGGCTCTTGTTTTGGGGTCTCCAGATTTATGTCATTTGTCATTAGTTAAAGATCCAAAAGCCCAAATGTATCATCTTCAAGCCCCGTCTAGTTTATTCACTTAGAACGAGGGAGTCGCTAAAATGTTGCCATGACAACTTCAAATCAACTGAGCCATAGCAAAAAGGGAAAAAAACCCAGGTTCTGAAGAAGAGACAATAGGAGAGGAATCCATCCACAAGGCGCCTGCCTAGGACCCTGACACTCAAGCAGGGGACAGGAAAAACAAAGGGTTGAGCGGACGGATGCCTCCAGAAATAAACGGCTACATATTAACTAACACAGCAGAAGCAATCAAATAAATCCCACACGAAAGGGGTAACTTTTGTGTCAATTCTCTACCCATAGGTCCCCCAAACCTTTCGGATCCAAGGGAAATCTTCAGCGGATGAGCCTTGTAAAGCCCGGATCCAAGGAAAGTGTGAAGCAAAAAAAAAAAAAAGGAACTGAAAGTGAAACTGTCCGGAGGAAGTAACGCTGCGAGAAGATCCCAGTCCCTGAGGGGAAGCGGCGCTGGTGTTTCGGGACCACCTTCCTCTCCATCCTCGAACCTGAGTGCGGGGGAAGCGCCCCTCCGGGCTTGCTGCGCTGACAGCGGGAGGAGGCGATGAAAGAGAGGGCAGGGCACAGGAGGCGTCTCTATGGCCCACAGCTGTCAGCCAGGGCCAGCCTCTGAGGACACCAGCAACGGGTCAGGCTACTTATTCGAATCTTAGCCGGGCATCCGGAAGCGTTTCCTGAGCGTTAGGGGTACGCGACACGGAACCCGGGATAGGACGTGTGGCCTGCACGCTCAGGCAAGGGGGGCCCGGCAGAAGCCGTGCGCCGTCTGGACACAAAGGGAAAATGATCAGGTCTCGCAGGGGTCCGGGGACGCGGCGTCCCC